ATGTACATATAAGACGCCTACGGACAATTTAGAATCACCAATTAATCTCATCATGTTTTTGGACATTGTGGGAGGAAGCCGGAGAACCCACGTTGCACGGAGAGAACATGTAAACTCTACGCAGAAAGATCCCAGGTGTCCTCACCGGGATGCGAACCGGCGACCTTCTCGCTGCAAGGCAACGATGCTAACCACTGCATCACCTTGCAGCGTCCCACAGACTTGATATCTAGAAAAGACAAACTTTGTAAATTCTATTATATTTGGTGTAAAGATTGCATTTTAATATGTAGAATCTTTTATAAATATCTGTCAAAGTCATGGGTGCTTACTGTAAATGTGGGGAAAAGTGTGTCCAGTTTTCCTTTTTGCAATTTGGACTGTAATTATTCTATTATAAAGAGTGCGCAAAATATGCACCCCTGTGAGCTTGTGTAACCAAATGGGTGAATACATGTGCTTCTTTTCCAGGTGCTCAGTAAGAAAAAGCTGCAGGACCTGGTGAGAGAGATTGACCCAAATGAGCAGCTGGATGAGGATGTTGAGGAGGTGTGTCAGTGGTTTTTAACTGTATTTTCAACTTAATACTGTACATAGATTTTTTTTAGCGAGTGTAAGGATGAACATCAGTTTAACTTTTGCTGTAAAATTAGTAGTGATTTTATTACAAATGACAAATTTTTTGTATATCTTGTTCTGATGAAACACAGGCTGCATGTTTAACTCGTGTGAAAGGTTTCCTCACTTCACTGGACGACGTAATTGATGGTTTTCAAAATGCCTGTCTCTTGTCAGATGCTGCTACAGATTGCAGATGACTTTATAGAAAGTGTAGTGACAGCAGCCTGTCAACTTGCACGCCACCGCAAGTCCAATACCTTGGAGGTGAAGGATGTTCAGTTACATCTAGGTAAGTGGCTGGTGGTGATTTACAGAATTTTGTCGCATGTGGGTTCAGTTTGTCGCTTCAGGTCACACCACAATGCATGATGGTCACTCTGGAATTATTTAGTGACAGCTGCTAACACAAGTGGTATCAGGAGGGAAATATTCCACATATATTAAGAGAATTTGCAATATTGTCGCTACTTTGAAGGCAAAATGTTCGCTATCTGTGCATTCAAAAGAACATTATTGATAACTGAGGAGAGCAAATGTATTTTTTGTGAGCATCACAAAATATCTGGCAGATGACACGTTAAAGAGATGCCTTCAAGGATCCACATGCTGCATAGCTGGTACAAAACCAAAGAGTTTCTATCCTTAAATCTTTCAAAGCATTTTTTTTTTCTTGAATGAAAGCAAACAAACAAAATGCAAGAGCTTCTTGAGAAATGTGTGGACAGTTTTAGATTGATATGGTGGCAAAACTACCGGCAGGTAAATTGCTGTCTCTACTGTTTTGCTGCCTTCAGTCTGATTGATTTATTTATTTCAGTTGTCTGTCTCTATATATATGTATACATTCATATATATATATTTCTTGTGTGTTTTGTTCCTTATTCATATTTATCTTATTATTATTGTTTCGGTGTGGAGCAGGTACACAACGCATTTCACTGCACGTTATACCATGTATAACTGTGTTTATGACCAATAAAAAGACCCTGAATCCTTGAAGCACACACAGAACGTCACCATGGATGGAGAGTCAAAACTGTCACATATGTTGAATTATACACTTGACAGGCTTGAAAAGATTTCTAATAACTTTTTGAAACAACATGGAAATTAGATCTTGGGAGCGTGACACGTTTCTGATAGACTGACCTACTTGCAGCGAAATGATGGCAAATGCGCCTGTTGTAGTTATACAGTGTTTTTATGCCACTAAATAAGTGTTGAAAATTCCCAAGAGTCATGGCCTGTGTCACGTTCATTGCTTTTCTCAGAGCGCCAGTGGAACATGTGGATTCCTGGTTATGGCTCAGACGAGATCCGGCCGTTCAAGAAGGCTTGCACCACAGAGGCTCACAAACAGGTGAATACTAAAAGGCTGTGTGTGTGTCGAACGTGTCAGAATATCCGTCTACATCCTACAGTACGGCTGGTCCGAATAGCAATTTGTGTTCTCCGGATATTCGGCCGAATTAATGACGAATGCGTTTAGGTTAGCGGTCACAGTACTGTTCCTGGGGGGGTGTAAGCTGAGGACTGACGGGACAGCAGTGAGCGGGCGTTTCCGTATTGTATCCTCCAAATAGATATCACGATTCCAGCACAGCGAACGAATAGTCGGCTTTTCGTGTTCAGCCCTAGTATACAGAGTAATACTAATTATTATTCTCATGTGTCCGTGTTGCTGGTTTTAGTTTGTCGGACGTTAACCATATACGGAACCTAACTGCATTTCTTTTCGTTTCAGAGAATGGCACTGATCCGCAAGACAACCAAAAAGTAGCAAGATTAACTAATACCCACTCTGTGTATTTTCTTTTTATTTTGTTTGTTTTTTTTTTTCTTTTTCAATTGGGTTTTTTTGTTTTGTTTTTTCTCAACTAATGAAGAAGAAAGAGATGGTTTCAGTAGGGGTGTTTTTTCTTTACGACATTAGATAGTGTTTTATTGTCATGTCTCCCTAACTTTTGAGTGTTTTGCCAGAATCATTGCATAATAATGGTATTTGTATGTTTGATTCTGTTTTGTTGCCATTAAAGTTAGCCTGGCAGAACTCCATTGCATTTTTTTGTCAATAAACATTTACTGGAATACATCTTTTGGATTGTGATTATCGTATCTGCTATGTGTTTTGTTACTCTTGAGCATAGGGATGTGAATGTTAATGACTCTTCTGTCTCCTTAAAAATGATCTTTATCGCTATCTTGCCAATAAGAGATAATCATCCCATTTTGAGTATGTAAAAGATTACGACTTCTCTGTTTACGTATTCATACAATGATTTTGATATTGTTGTTTATTAACAGAGGTTTATAACACCTAAGTCCCAGCCATTGTTTTTGGACATGTACTGTTGCTGTAGGAGTTTTCATTGCATTAGTTATAAAACATTTGAAATCAATGAATGTAATCATTTCACTTCGCTCAGACTAATATGCAGAAACAGCCGTTAACGACCTGCCATGTCTCAGCAAAATAAATTGTCTACATTTTGGCTGCAGAAACACTGGAGACTGTTCATCAGCCAGATGAACCGTAATTGCTGCGGAATTCTTTCAAAAGAACAATATCCAAAGGCACTTGAGAGATTTTATTTATTAAATTTTAGACAACAGCACCTGAAAACAGTTCAGTCATAAGTTGCCTTGCAATTAGTGGTCGATGCAACAAAGCCTTTTCCGTGCAACTGCTGGAGTGCAGAAGAATGAAGGCTGCATAAAGGCCTATGGTTTTGTCTATGATCTTAATCCAGGGACCCAGTGCATTAACCGCTGCCTATTACAGACAGAGTAGTTCACACAGAAAAGAATCAGATGTATGTTCTGAAATGGATTTTGAGGGGGAAAAAAAGCAGAATGTCCTTGGAGTGCGTCGGCTCCCACCCTCTGTTGCTTGCAAGCCCTTGTTCTAAGTTATGACCTCAGTGTGGACATGAGCTGTGAGCAGGTGGAATCATTTCTTAACTCTCTCCTAAAGGGATTTTAAAAAAGTATTTCCGAAGAAAAAGGGCAAAGAAATACCTTTAACTGTCTTGTGACCTCTCAAATACACCGTCGGTCCGGAACCCCAGGTGTGGGAACCACTTTTCCAGTGAACAGGGGCTGAAGTGCAAAAAATCAATAGCAGAGCAGGTGTGGTATTATCCTCTGCATTTAGATTGAATGTGGTTTTGTTACAGTCACTTCTTTAGCACCTATTAGGCTGATGAAGGAAGAAAGCGCAAACTACTGGAGGTCACCATTACAATGGCTGCCCCTGCTGAACAGAGATTAGTAATGACCTCTTCAGTCCATTAATCTGAAATGCTGCGGTCCTCGCATCTCACACAAAAACAGAATGAACCTATATGTCTTCTAAATACAAAAATCTATAGATTTTGCTATTAAATGTCTACGACCTCACTGGCAGCTTTACGAGGCTGTACACTTTGTAGGGCACACTGGGAACTCAAAGCTGATGCTTTAAGTGTCAATTAGTTTCTGGTCTTAAAACAAGCAACGGGCAAACTGAAATTTTGACCTGATGGTAGCATTAGATTAGCTTCTGCAAAGTCATTAGAAATCCTAAGCATGTAAACAACAATCATTTAAATAGTACTCAAGACTTGTCACCCTAAAATAAAAATGTTCGCCAGCTGGTGGTGCAGAAGGAAAAATAAGTCAATATCAAAGCCTGAAACAAATGAAAACCTTTCCATTTAAGACAACACTTCTTACTCATTTCAGGAATGTCAAAGTATTGTACAAAATCACAGCAATATCAGTCTTTTACATGGTTAAAGTTGTAAAGAAAGGTGCAAAATTGCAGCGTGTTTCATGATGGTCTCACATTACAGTAAAATGCCACCACAAATTCAACTTCCTGGCGGCCAGTTTTGGCTCCACAGTAACACGAGTGCCCACGGGTGACCGGTGCCAATCCGCGCTTTAATCACAGCACTTCTTGTTGTTCTTGGGGGCTGTGCTGGGCTGCGACAGGCTGGCTCTCTTTAACTGCAGCGCCTGTGGGGCCGCGCACTTGACTCCATCCCAGCCCTCTTGCAGCTCTACCTCGCCGCTCAACAAACCCTGGTAGACCCGTCGAGTGAGGAGCTCGAAGGACTCCCTCACATTTTGGCCCGTCTTTGCGGAGGCCTCCACGTAGGGCATCCCCAGCTGCCCGGCCAGTTTCTCGGCCTCCTCTCTGCTGACCACCCTCTCCCTGTGAGCATCCCGGTCGCTCTTTTGACCTACCAGGATGAACAGAACCCTGTGTGGCTGCACTCGCTCGCTCACCTCGTCGTGCCACTCCTTAATGTGGTCAAAGGAGGCTCGGTTGGTCATGTCGAACACCAGCAGGCCTCCGACAGAGTTGCGGTAGTAAGAGCGGGTTACTGACCTGAGGGAAGAGGGGGGAAAGAAAGTAAGAGAAACAGAGGAATGTTTTACATTTTCACACATGGAAAACCTCTCAAAACCAATACGGAAGAGAGCAGAGTTCAGACTTTTTCACCAGCTTATTTCCTGTTGCAGTATAATAGCTGCACTGTGTGAGTTGAGCCCTTTCAGATAAGCAGATTGAAGAATTTGTCTGTTTGTAAGAAACTGATATCCACTGTTTTTTTCACCCTGAACATGAAGCGGTTAACAGTCACATAGCTCTCTCTTGAGTCATCAAATTTGTAAACTAAGGGAGAGGTAAGGGTCAGTTGGAAGTTGGTGAAACTTTACTTCTTTATTTGAGATTAGCAGGCTGCAAACACCACGCAGAGAGGAGGTAAATACAGGCATGGCTTGGAATTTGCTACAGTTTAGTTAAGTGGAGAGCTGAAATAATGTATTCAGACAAAGAATGAAACATATTCCTCCTACTTCTGTCACTAAAGACACAGAGCATGGTGATATAATGACTTTTAAGAGGTGTGTGTGTCTTTAACTTTAAGCTTTACACACTGCAGGGTAACACGGTGGATACACAGTCACAGCTGAAAGCAAACACTGATGAACAGCTCTGATGTGAACAGAATAACCAGTGCTGGTTTATTTGGACAGTATATTTGCATGCACACCACAAGTTTCTCTAATAATTATCTTTCGAATTTATGTTTTAATATTTTGTACAAAGAGGCAGAGAAGTCTCGTGCTGGTTTGACGTCTTAAGACATCCACAAAGGATCAATGGATTAAAAGTGCGCTCTTTAAGAAGCGTTAAGCTGTGACTGATATCTGTGTAGATGGCAGCAGATCAAGCTCATCCTCACCTGAACCTTTCCTGACCGGCCGTGTCCCAGAACTGCAGCTTGACGCGGACCCCCGGTTCCACCTCCAGGAAGTGGACGTAGAAGTCTACACCTACTGTCTGGTTGATGGATTCCAGGAACATGTCCTCGGTGTAGCGCTTCAGCAGCGAGGACTTGCCCACGGTGGAGTCTCCCAACATGATGATCCTGAACTGATACTGCCACAAAGTCAGGTCCATTGTTGCTGACAGTGAGAAAATACCGGTTAAGGCAAGGAAGGCAGCCAGCGGGGATATTAAGGTATGAATAAAAATTCCAGAGAAGAGAAAAAAAAATCATAAACAGGTTGTCAGTGAGATTAGGAAAGAGGAATGTAGTGAGCAGCCAGTCGGTGAAGAGATTGGAGAGAAGATGAAACCGAGTCAAGCAATCCCACACCAGCTTCCCACCAGTTGGTTCCCTACCTCTGCTCTTCTAAATGTTGAGAAACAACCAAGTAGCCACTCCTTATTAATCACTCTGTGCTCACAGCCATCCCAAACGCCTGTGCATTTGATGACTGCAGCACAAGTCTCTCAGTCTCATTAACATGTTGGTTCATTAAATCCTCTGCAAAATTCGGTGTGTGGTAAAAATGCGCCCCACTAAATCGACCCGGCTCTCGTCCGAGCCGCTGATCCCGACCGCTACTGTAAGCATGTTCATGAGTGTGGCTGTGCAGGGGTGTGGACTTCTGAAGTTTGCCTGTTGATACTTGACAAAAGGAGGGGCGAGTAGCATGAGGACAAAGGGAGGGCCGGTTGTGGGAGAGAAAGGAGGGGAGGAGGTTCATAAGGAAGTAGTGGCTGTGTTTAATGTCATATCAAGGGAAGCTGTGAAGTTTCCTGCTGTCACCAACTCATATATACATGTCATCTTTTCACCAAAAAAAAAAGGAAAGAAAATGAGGGTGATAGTTGGCCACTCTCTGCCCAAACAATTTGCAGCAGTTTTTATCACTTTATGGTCTTTGTCTGTTGAGTGAACTCGGCCACCTAAAAAGGGAAGTTGATAACAATGGTGCTTTAAATCCCCTGGGAAAGGCTCAGGATATGCAATTAATCTTTGTAAAGCAGGTTAACCTTTATTTATGTCTACAACATATTCATTCACTCGTGTTTAGAAATTTCATAATGACTATTTTAATTTCGAGCAACAGTAACGGTTATTAAAGGCAAAGTCTGTTGTCACATTAGGATAGCTTTTCAAAATTATAATTCCTCCAAAGGGAAATCATACAGATTTAAAGCACACAGTTAGATCGTGCTGTTGTTGACTAATCAATTCTAATACAACAGTTACCGCAAGATAATTTAATTTTCTTATGCAGTTTAAGTTGCATCTGCATTGTTTTGGTGTCAGCATGGAATCTAACAGCTCACCTGCCTGATCAGTTTGTTCATTCACTGCTGCACCTATTTTTAAAGATGATTTTTCTGGCCTTTCTGCTATTATTACACAGGACAGTGAGACAGGAAGGGGGGAGAGAAGAGAGGGGAGGACCTGCAGCAAACTGTCGTGAGCAGGAGTCAAACTCACGACCACTGCGTCAGGGAACTACCTGTTCATGGGTCGCCCACTCAACCAGGTAAACTATAGGGGCGCCCTGAGTTACATGTACTACTACAGCTGCTGGGGGGAGGACACACACCACGACTTGTGTTTCACAGCTCAACAAGAATAACGACTAGTTTATCATGACAAATAAAATTTTAATTCAAAGTAAAACCACATGTTGCGTCACGCATGCATCTAAACTTCATAATAGAAAAATATGGTATGTTGATACATTCGGGTCAACAACACACAAACAAAAGCATTGGCAACAAGCCTGAAAATGTACCTTGGAAGTTTGATGCTAAAGCTCTACAGGTGGCTGCTACTGATGTTTTGAGAGCAAACTGAGGTTGTATTTTCAGTTTTCTAATGCCAAAATATCATCTCCTGTTTCTTAGAATTGACTGAAAGGTCACCTAATGTTACTGGACTGTCAGATGACTGTGCATCAGCATTATTCACTTTAGGAAGCTCTGGGTCAGATATGGCAGCAAGAGGAAATGGAATACAAAATCCTATTTGTCTGTAAAAGGCAAAAAGGCTCAAACCTTAAAGTCATGCAACATGAACCGATGAGTCCTGGCTTATGGGAGGGGGGGAAAAAAACAAAACCTTATAACACTCAAGTCTGCATATATCAGTTTCTGCACAGGAATCAAAACCCAGTGTCCATATTAGCCTTACACATGGATATTATTACAACATAATGTTTCGTACACGCCCCACAGCCACAAGCTTTGTGGTCCAAGTTAATCTCATACTTGTACAAGCCTGACAGCAATAATACTTAAAACCAAAGTTTGCATTCAAACCAAGAGGAGACATACATAAAACAAAACTGTTACCCAAAAAAAACACGCATTTTGAAGAGGTAAATGTATCAATAACATGTCTAACTGCTATGACACAGAGGCAAAACGTGGAGAATACAAGCTGCTTGGATTGGACCGATTTGCAGGATGGCTGACGTAAGAAACCCAAACACTGATGTCATGATTCCTGCAAACTCACCTGTTAATTCTGAGGAGTCACAAGGTTTTATGCCTACCTGCAAAGCACATCTTACATCTTCTCACAATTTCATCCAAGCATCTTGCCATTAATGATACTGCATACGTTCTACTGACAGGCTCATGTCTTATCATTTATCCACAGCATGCACATTTTCTTACAGTTTTCCCATAAAAACTAGAATTTTTGCTTTTTTTGCAGTAAAATCTCAGAGTTAAAATACTTTTTTTTTGACACGAAGGCATAACATGTTTAGTGTACGAATGACTACCAGCATATTGTGCCAAACAGCGTAAAAACAGTTTGATACAAATTTTGGTTTTGCAGCATCTGCTAAGGGCAGATCAGTTTTTGTTCAGATCGACACCTACAAAGAGGGAAACCTCAGCTCAGTGATGTCCACGTCAGGTGAGCTGCTGCCACTGCGGTCGCTGTAAGTGTCCCTGAAATGAAAGAAATGCATAAAGTGAGGATAATAGCAGCAAATGGGTTGTTTTACTGGGACTGTAGGTGTAAATTGTAACTATAACTGATGCATTTTTTTTGATGCAACTATAATGCTACAAAAAAAAAAATCAAGCCATTGCTACAGCTGCCCTGTTTAATATCTCATTGGAAAAAATGGTGAAATAAAATTTAGATTGTTGCTGTATTGTTAAAAACCAAACTGGAACAAATCCTGGGAATTTACAATAGTTTTAGCTCAACGTCTGTATTCCTGGAATATCACTGTTTAGCAGCTACAACTGAACTTCCACCAAATAACATTCTGCCCAGGTTTACCGAGGAGAAAGACGGCAGCCCTTTGCCAGGTAGCTCTGGAGTTTTCCTGTAGAAGCCAGCAGGAGACCGAAATATGGAGGAGAAGGTTTGATGGGTCTGGAGGTGAACTCTGGATGGTACTGCACTCCAACAAAGTAGCAGTGGTCTAAAACAGAACGTAGAGGGTTAGTACAGGTATAGTAGTATGACCTCCACTGTATTTGGCCTCATTTAACATGAAACGGGTAAAACATGAGATAACAAACAAGGCCAATTTGAGGTTAGGTATGCTGTCTCTGAAGAATGTTTTGGAGTTGCATTTATTGACAGCACTGAGTGGACGCTTGTTTTCCACTTACCCTCCAATTCAATGACCTCCATTCTCTCTCCCTCCACGTCCTGACCGACAAACTGAAGTCCCCTCTTTTCAAAGTGGTGCTTCAGCTCCGGATTCACCTAAATGAAAATAAATGAAATTATTTAAGAGAGTCTTTTGAAGAAATTATCTTGCAATACTTCAGAACAAGATTTGGATCCCCAAAACACTTTTCCAGGGTTAGGTCATGGTGGCACAAGGCTAATCAGGGCTTTTCAGACATTTCTCTTCCCAGCAATGCTTTCAAGTTCCTCCTGTGGGATCTCAACGTATTCCCAGACCAGATTAGACAGGTAATCCCTCCAGCAGGTTCTAGGTCTACCCCTGGGTCTCCTCCCAGTTGGTGCCCATGAGGCTCACTAATCAGATGCTGGAACACCCTAAGCTGGCTTCTTTTGCATGAAAGAGCAGCCGTTATATTTCGAGCTCTCTTCAAATGTCCGAGCTCTCACTCTATCCCTAAGACTGAGCCCAGCCACCCTGCAGAGAAAACTCATTTTAGCTGCTTCTATCTGTAATCTCATTCTTTAGATCACTACCCAGAGCTCCCAATAGGTGAGCGCTGGAACGTAGATGAACTGGTAAATCAAGAGCTTTGCCTTCCGGCTCGGCTCCCACTTCACCATGACAGCCTTGCACAGTGTCCACGTTACTGCTGACACTGCACCAATCAGTCTGCCCATCTCGAACATCTTTGCTCGGGGCAGTAGCTCCCCCGTCCCCATCCCAGAGAGCGCAATCCAACATTTCCAGCACAGAACAATGGCCTTAGACTTGGAGGTTCTGACTCTCATCGCAGACGCCTCACACATGGCTGAGAACCGCCACAGTGCATTCTGGAGGTCACATCTGATTAAGAAAACAGAACCACATCATCCACAAAGAGTAAAGAAGCGACTCTAAGCTTCCTGAACCGGACCCACCCCTCACTGTGGCTGCACCTTGAGATTCTGTCCATGAATATCATAAAAGGGATCGTAGAAAAGGGTCCAACACCCATCAGAAATGTATTTGACCTCATGCCAAGAATACAAACAAAGTAAAGAACAGTTAAAACCCCAGGTTGCAGCAGTATGCTTTTATTTCCTTAAAAAAAAAGTTTTGCATTCATAAACTGTTTCTCAAGTTTTGTGCTCCCAAACTTTAAAAACTTGTCTTGAGCTCTACCTCAAATCTGTGTCTGTGCCTCTCTTCAACATATTCCACATCTCCATACAGTCTTCCTGCAACAATAAATCACCAGTTATTACAAAAGTCATAGTTGGAAAAGGAGAACAAAGGTCTGACACAGTGCACGGTATGTTTCAGGAAGATACATACTCACGACGCTGGTGCTGGATTTGAAAATGGTCCGCCTCCTCCCCAGTCTCATAGTTCCACCCATCTGCCCAGGGTTGTGCTCTGGCATGTCAATCACCTGTCAAGATCAGATAGAATGTTAAACCACCGTGGTTATTTGATGTGATATAAGCATGGTGGGGGGAAAAGGAAAAAAAAAAAAAAAGACCACCTACCACAGGGTGTTTTGATTCGGGATTAAATTCTGTGGAGTTGGCATCTGAAAAAGATAAGCGAAACTGATCTAAGCGCCGATCAACTTCCCAACAGGCCTCGGGTTCCTTCATCATTAAATTAGAAACCACAGGAATCAAATGTTGCTTGGCAGTGTCCTGTAGCTGAACAGCACAATTACTCACCTTCCCATTTGAGAACATTGCGGGCAAACTCGCACACTGCCAGCTGCATGCCCAAACATACGCCTGCACAAAACAAGACCAACAGGATTTTTGCATAATGAGAGCTATTGTGAGGACTCATAAATAAAGAAAGGCTGAAGATCTCCATGGTAAAAACCACTTTCATGACTAACACTATTGCATTTGCATATAATTATACAGTCTATAAAAAATCATTTGCCTCTCTCTGGACTTTATGTTTCATTATTTTACGGCGCTGAATGCTCTGAGTGGATGCAATTAAGCATTTATGTCACAGGGAGAACAAATCTCTACAAATGGTTCTAAATTACGTAGAAAAGATAAAACAGTAACTGATTGCAGGAGCATATTCAGGTCTATATTTTTTTAGATTCGTGGGTGGCGGTAATTTTAGTTTTGAGTCTATGGATCAAGTGGGTCTTTAACAACTGAACCTGAATTCAACATTTTTTTCTCCATTTGTCTTTGCATAATTGCTCAAACTAGCTGCATAAACGTCTTCATAGAACGGAAGCTTGCAAGTCCTGGCACACTTTCTAATCAGTTGCACATACGGATAACGTACATCGACATTGCTTTTCTTTCTGTGTTCGTTTTGCTTCATATTTTAAGTTGATGGTTTGCAGGGGGGGAGGGGGGAAATTAATTCTTCGTGTTGTAAACATCCCTACAAAATTATGCATCTTTCTGAATACTCTGAGCTGCAGCTACGTAATTATGCAATCAATTATATTTTTGTTTTATCTCTGTTCCTAAAAATTAATTTAAAAGGTTTGTTTTGTTTTCAATTTTCGTCCAACCTGTGCTAAAATTGCACACAGTCGCTGTCATTTAACCAGGTAAATAATGAAGCATACAACAGAGAGGTATTCTAAGTGCTAAAATGATGGTAACTGTCCTGAACTGTCCTTTGAAAAGCTTTTTAGTTCTGACTGACTGTTGTGGACTTCCAGGCATTTCACTTATTGTTGTTGGCTTGCTGCCTGTTCACAGTCTGACACACGTGACTCTACTAACTCACATGATGGCTGGTGGATCAATGTGACCTCAACCTTCCTGAAGGTGCTAACAAATTCACAAGAGGCTAAATGCTTTGGACTCCCGACCAGTAGACTCCCAGGTGTCCTGTTTTAGCATACATTTACACTATGACCGTAACAGATGACAGAGCCTATGAGAGAACACAGTGTCAAATCTCTTACCCAGAAATGGCTTATTCTGTTTCCTTGCCCAGCTAATAGCCAGCATCTTGCCTTCTGTTCCTCTTTCACCAAAACCTCCTGGAACCAACACACCCCTGGGGAAAGAGAAGGAAGGACTGTCAAGCCTTTGTTCATTTCACATGTCCTGTGACTACCTCTCTGGAGATAGTTTAAGGATGAAAAGCTGGACTTGTATTGTCCATCAGTCTAGTAAGCAAGTTTAATACAAAACTGTAAGGTCATCAAACTCATCCATTCACTATCTATACACCACTTAATCCTCACGAGGGTCGCAGGGGGGCTGGAGTCTATCCCAGCTGACTCAGGGTGAAGGCTGGGGACACCCTGGACAGGTCACCAGTCTATCACAGGGCTACACTTAGAGACAGACAACCAAGCACACTCACATTCACACCTACGGACAATTTAGAATCACCAATTAACCTCAACATGTTCTTGTGGGAGGAAGCTGGAGAACCCAGAGAGAACCCACGCTGCAGGGGGAGAACATGCAAACTCCACGCAGAAAGATCCCAGGTGTCCTCACTGGGACATGAACCGGCGACCTTCTTGCTGCGAGGCAACGGTGCTAACCACCGCTCCACTGTGCAGCCCCCATCAAACTCAGTAAATGTTATTTTGCAAAATTTTGTAAGATGCTATGTGGTAAGAAATTGATTAGGACATGGGAGACATAAACCCAATGCATCCAAAAAACAAAACAAACCCAAAAGATATAGTATTTTTGAACACTTCTACATGATTCACAAATTTAACTCCGTTTACATGTTTGTAATATTACACCAGACTGCCATCATGTGGCATGAAAGATAATACTGTTTGACCACATTGTAAATCTCAGTATTGGTAACTATAACATTTCAAGGTGATTCAATCCTACTGGCACATGTTTCCTCCCAGTATTGTCTACTCACTGAGCACTGCAGAGTTTTTGCCAGGCCTCATGATATTTCACAGGTTCATCTTGCAGAGTGGTAGCTTCCAAGTCAGCAGAGTCTATGTACTGTAACAACAACAAAATTTGGAAAGAGATCAGTAGGCATCAAGCAAACAGGCTTACCGCTGTGTAAATACAGGTGTAGGTCGAGGATTATTCAAGTTCTACAAGTTCTTTGTAAAGGTCTAAACATACCATGTAAGAGAGTGATGAGTAATTCAAAAAATCAATATGCAAAAAACACAATAGGCAAAATGTTTCTGTACCTTGACCTCTAGTTTGTGCTTAATGGCAAGGGCTGAGTGCTCCAGTGCCTTAATAACAGACGTGTAGGAGTCTGCTAACTTTGTGTATTTCCCCACCAGGGCTATAGAAACATGCTCCAAGAGACGGTCCGATCTGAAAAAGAGAGGGAGATGATTCACTGTGCTGACCCCAGAGCAGCATTTAATTAGAACTTCTCAGCTACTCTAATAATAATTCAGTGCTGTTTTATTACCTGCACATCTAGTTTCCTGTAATGAAGCAGGAACATTTCTCTTTCAGAGTTCAACACTCTTTGGTTTGTAACACAATTCCCCGAGGTGACTCAGTGATTAAACTGACTCTGCTATAACTGAAAGGTGTATAATTTGCATCCATTTTCTCGCAATTTCTGAGCAAGACGAAATTAGAAGCGCACAAGTGACTAAGACAAACTTCCTCACCTGTCAGCCATCTCCTTCCACTTTGTAAGCATCTTTCTGGGTCTCATCTCAACAGGCAGGTTTAGCCGCTTACAGAAGTAGTCCACGACACCTTGGTCCTCCAGGAGCAGGGGCACTTTGTAAATTGAGGAGACGTCATGGACACAGATCACCTGTAAAACATATTATTAACACCATGTTACTTCAACATATTTTTTTTTTTTAACCTTCCTATGACCTTCAAATGTACTGACATCTTTTATCCTTGGGTTCAATTTGACCTCAGCAATTAAAACCTCCAGAAAATATCAGAATTAAAATTGTTACCCAGGTTTATGTGTAAATAGCCCTTTAAATAATGACTTACTTAGAGATGTTATACATTAAATGGGGTCAAATTGACCCCAAAGATAATAGGAGGGTTAAATAAATAGTGTGACTGAGCCACATGTGTAGTTTGTGATTTTAACTGGTAATAAAAATAATAACTCCATAAATCCATCCTGTTTTATGTTACGTCATGCTGTTGTTTATGTCTCACAGCTGTCACGATGATTCCTAAACACCCGAGGGCAGAATCTCTGAGCTCAGGCTTAAGATTTAGTGGATTAAAACAATCCTGTTGTTTCACTATAAAACAGCACGACACATTTTCACACATAAGCATGGGATGATGTAATGTAAAAAAAAAGAAAAAGAAAAGAAAAGAAAAAGGTCAACCCAATCTGATAATAGCGTACAGTGAAGCTGTAGTTATCCTTGCTTCTGTTGCTCATGTCTTAATATGTACTATCATTTCATTTATTATTTTTTTAGATACAACTTTAACACAGTTATATGTATCACTTTTAAATAATACAAACAGGACACCACAACTGCAGAGAAAGTGCTGACAACATAAACTGCACTAGTTCAGCCTGCTCCACACACAATTTTAAGCGAGGCTGGAATGAAAACAAGACTTTACCTGTGTGGGCTCCACATGACAAAACATGGAGATCTTCTCCTTGACAGACCTTTCCAGAGGCATTGCACAGCGACACATAACCTGGCAAAGAGAAATGAATGTCATTGTAATATAAATGAACAAAACAATACCTGGGTATGTGGCTGTGGGGTTAGTATTTAAAGACATACTTAAGCAGATTTTATTTGCTTGCCTACATCATGAGAGCAACCTGATTGTAAGAAATGACTGTGCTGTCTACATGTGAAATGAATATAAGTAACCTGGTCTGTGTATATTTGGGATGCAGGAGGAAATCCAAGTTTGAAAACCAACTATAAATCAGAATTACCAAATCTGGAGACAAGCCCAGCCCTCTGAGCTCTCGGACACTGTTCTGGGTCGGTTTGGTTTTTTGCTCTCCTGTTGTATTGGGCTGGAAAAACAAAAAACAAAAAAAGAGATGAACTCACATAAAATTTAAGCAAAATTGTCAGTGCAAATTAAGTGAGTAATGATTGTTCTTATTCTTAAGCGTTCTCCTTCAAATAACAACAAACGGAACAGAACAAAACATAAAAAATAGACATAATTATAATAACAATATTGTGGAATATGGTGATCTTACAGTTAATCAATTTTCCAGCAATAAATATGCTGTGTGTTCATGACTGAAGCATACCTGTGGGACCAAGCTGACATGGATGTTGCAGAAGTTCTCCCTCTTCACCTTGAACTGGAACTGTCTGAAGGCCTCTATAAAAGGCATGCTCTCAATGTCCCCGACGGTGCCTCCCAGCTGTTGGCACAACACATCAGCTTAGAACACAGAACTGCATGCATGAACAGACAGGTTAGTTCTCAGCAGCTCACGAACGACGACAAACTTGGAAAGAACAGCATGTAGTCAGCAGCACTGAGCCCATTACACTGTCAGAACTGGGCTGAAGTATGGAGGGAACTGCTGGGGGCAGGATCATAATTTAACTTAGTTTATGAGAACTTGACTCTTTTCAGCTGCAAATTTATTAAAGATGAAATAATTCATAGTTCACACTGTAAAAACAACACCTGATTTATAACATTAAGATTTAACACCTTATTTAACTAAATCAAACCTACTGTATGCCCTCTATCCCAGAGCCAGTCCCAGAGAAGGACAGTTTTACAGACTCTCCTCAAGAAATCCATTTTAAATCACTCGAATTTTCAGTTTTTCTAGATTGTTTGTTTCTCTGCTTGACTCACTCGCATTTGTGCAAGTTCGGGGATTTCTCATACCACTTACAGAATAATGTGAAAATGTTCTATTGCTTCAGGCTACATGCTTGGTCTCCCTTCTGATCGAAAACCTTTTCCATTCCTCTAAATCACTAGAAAAACTCAATCCTGGCCAAAAATCACTTGTGGGTGACTCATGAGAGTATTAAAGTAGCACTTCTGGCTTGACAAAAAAACTGTGTTTAGAATCCATTCACACTGAATGCAAAATCCATCCAACAGCATGAGCTCCCACTTGCAGAGAACAACTTACCTCTATGACACAAACTTGAGGCTCCACACCGTCATCATCCACTGAAATCCGAGCCTGCTTCATTACCCACTCCTGTATGGCATCCGTGATGTGGGGCACCACTGAGAAAACATGTCAGCATGATCACTAAACCATTTAAATGTTGCACTTTACAAACTTTGTCCTAGACTGTAAAGATAAAAATCCAAAGTGTAATGCTGTTTTCCATCTGCTGGCACATTAAGTTTCCAAAAATTAGGGGTATTTAAATTCAAAGAGGTACTAAAAAACAACCACCATATGTTTTAGTGCAGATACATCTTTATTTTAAGATAACTCATCCCTCTAAAACACACAAATAAAGCAGGGGTTTTTTGTTTGTTTGTTTTCCAAATCTGCCTCTGCTTCCTCGTCTACTTTCAACATGAAACCATAAGAACCTCTAACCTTGTACTGTCTTGCCCAGGTAGTCTCCTTTCCTCTCCTTGTTGATTACAGACTGGTAGATCTTTCCAGTGGTGAGGTTGTTGTCTCTGATAAGACGGATGTCCAGGAATCGCTCATAGTTTCCCAAGTCTAGATCCACTTCTCCTCCGTCATCGAGAACAAACACTTCACCTGGACAGCGCAGACATTACGTCGATTTATTATGCAGTTAGTGTACACAGCAGAATCAGAACTAGTTGAGATTCAGTACTTTGTTTGCTGACATAATAGTTATCTGTTGTTTGGAAACAACCTGGGCCTATATCACTTTACCTTCAGCCATCATGTTCCTGCGTCATATCAGGGATTTGCTTGACATTGCAGACATGTGTTTATAAAACCGTCAAAAATAACAGGAAATGCACAGACATCTGCCAAGTAAGATAACGGACACATTGCCTTTACTACATGCAGACTGACTGTACTTATTGTCAGCTCCAGGCCTATTCTGAGACAGGAATAATACTGTCTTTCTTGTCAAATATTAACCACGGGACTCAACCACATAATCAAACACAACAGCAGCCGATACATGATGACAAGCAATAAAAAAAATCAACATCACTGGACGCAGTGAATTACTCACCATGTTCATAAGGTGAAAAGGTCCCAGCATCAATATTGATATATGGATCGATTTTGATAGCAGTGACGTGAAGGCCGCAGGACTTGAGGATGGTTCCCACACTGCTGGCAATGATGCCCTTACCAATTCCAGAGATAACGCCACCCGTAACCAAGATGTACTTCATAGTGGCATGTGAAGACTAAACACACAAAAACAAACAAGAGTCAGTAATTATTCTGCAAAATTACTTTTTATCTCCGGGGCATGTTACCAGCTCAGACATGAGTCAGACATAGAGGAGGTGCTGGTGTGGGAAGAAATCAGAAAACATATTGTTCAGTCCCACACACAATAAAATCATCCATCCATTATTTATACACCGCTTAATCCTCACGAGGGTCGTGGGGGGCTGGAGTCTATCCCAGCTGACTCAGGGTGAAGGCAGGGGACACCCTGGACAGGTCACCAGTCTATCACAGGGATACACTTAGAGACAGACAACCAAGCACACTCACATTCACACCACACCACACACTTTATATAGGTGCAAAGCTAGAACTGAAATTAGGTGGATCAGTCAAGTGGTCTCTTAACATTAAAGTCTACATTGGTTCCCTTTATTTACCTCTTGACAATACAAGGGCACTTACATGTAAAAAGTAATATACACTAGTTTTTATCTGACATTATTTCTCACTGGCTCAAAATGGAAACTACCTGTACAAATGAAATATTAAAATAAACTGCATGAGCACTACAAAACATTAAAAAAAATTAAATGTGAGGGTGATAGCAGGTGCACACATCTGCGTTTTCAACTTCAGAGTTGGAGTTAACCATCCGTTTGCACACATTTACTTACATTAACCAGCCATATATCGCATGGGGACATTAAAGAAGTAAATAAAATGAATAAACACCATAAACTGCCTTCTTCTTGTATAGAATCTCGCAGGTTAAACCGTGTCCGACCCAAAGTCTAATTGACCCACTTCTTGGGAAAAGAAAAGGCGGGAAAATACAGCAGCACAATAAACAAGTGAATCCGAAAGAAAGGACTGTTGTGAGAGTTTGGGATTTGTGTGTTTGGCATGTTAATACCAGCTAATTGCTAATAAGCTCGACAGTTTGTTGTTCGCAGCTGAAACACGAGCTGCCGCTGCGAAGTTGGACCTAGCTTAATTTAGCTAACCTTGTCTTTCCCAGAACCGCTTTGACATAACGTTACTTTTAGCGAGACGCAAAGCTAATGTGCGTGTGTGCCATAAAACACCTGCGACCCACAGTCAGGGCTTCAGCTGGGACTCATTCTGAGACATAAACGACCAATATTTTTAAACAGTATCCTTATCAGCTGACAATACTAAGAAACTAAAAGCACAAACTCACCTAAAGAGCTAGGGAGAGAAGCAGGCTTCGACAGGTGCCGTGTCTCTGATGAATTCTCCTCTATTTACGAAGCATCCGAGCCCACGTTGCTGCTGCAGAACAAACACGTGTAGGAGAAGCTCACTGAACCGCTTCGCAGCAGAACACCTTGCTTACTTCCGTTTAGGTTAGTGAGTAAAAGAAATGCCCTCCTTTAGAGTTCTCAGGCAACATTTAGTCTCCGTCTCCAAAGACTCAACCAATGAGATGACCGGATTCTGGTTTCACTTCCGGGAAAGGCGTCCCTGACAGGCTAAAGTCTGGGCGAAAATATTCCAATGACCTACATATACATAGCACTGAATAAAGTACTGCATTTCAAGGGCAGTGCAAGCTCATATTATTCTAATTGGAAATTAATTAAAAAAAACATCAGTCATATCTTTTAATCATGTTGTCATGTCCTTGAACAATTAGCTACCCTATATGTCATGACTGATGTTGCTTATGTAAGATAATCATGTTTACTCTCAATAATAACTTGTCACCCAGAGACAAAAAAATGTCTAGACAGGATGATAATAAAAAAGTCCAACTATCTAAAATATGTCAAATCATTTTTTTTATTGTCACTTGCTCAGTTCTTGCAAGCACTCTCACCACTAGATGGCATGTGCGTTCTACCTGGCATTACTCAACCTAAATCCAGACTAAATTGAGCTTTTAAGATGCATGACACAATTCACAAATAATGATCCCGCTGACTAAATGGTGGGAAATAGGCCATCAGATGTAGTAACACAGGGATTAATATTGATTAGTCATATATTCTGGTATGGTCAAGTGTGGCACCACAAAATTGAGCAATAGCAACCCTTAAAACCCAATTTACGCAGCAACACTGGCTGAGATATTAAAGTTTTCCTTCATGTATTCGCTGTCGCGCTGCTCCAGTTTTGCTATGGGTAATGAGAGTGGTGATTCTAATTCATTTCTGTCCATGATCTTGATCTAATTAAAGACCTCATCCCTGCCACCTCATTTTCATAAGCTGTTCCCTTCAATTACATCTGACAAGTGAGCACAGACACATATTAACCTCCTGCATGAAGAGGTACCGTGCTTCCCTCATCTCTCTGCAATCTTAAAATACCAGAGAGGGCTATTCAAAGGTAATTCTGACTCTTTGAATCTACCTATTTGCAAAACACATCTGGGGATGGCAATGCACCCGTCACACTCAGAGTATGTTCTCTTTTTCTCGGATACAGATGGCAAAACAGTGCCACGCAATACCGAGGTTTCATAATGTGTTGTGGTTGTATGTCTGTCTGAAACCGACCAAAGTCAGTTGTGACAGCTCATCCTTGCTTGTTAATGATCATCTACACAGTCGTGACTGTTTTTACCCGTCACAAAGAGAACGGGAGGCCAAAGTATCTGGAAGGATCGGCTTTCCTATCATTAGAATAGGCATCAAATCACATGCAATATTATAGAACGGTGACACTAAATCACATTATTGACTGCAAAGTAGTGTAATTTATGGCCTGAAGGTCCTATAGATAACAATGTTGGGTGCCAGACAGTTAAATAGATCTGTCATTAATAACTGAGGACTTCTGTCTGTAACTCATGCTACAAAATAAATCAAGGATGTAAGATGTTTGTAAGGGAAAACTTAATGAGGAAGATGATAATGAAGCCAACTGGGAAAAGAAATCCACGTTTAACAAATATGTTTATATCTCAGAATCACTTCATACACACCTTTAATTTTAATTTGAGATGTAAAGACAGCAAGGAATCACATGTGGGAGCATCTGTGTATAGAACAAATTCATTCTCAAACTGATGAAACTGGAGTGTACACTGAAGGGGGGAAGAGTCCAGGCTTGGAGTAGAGCTAATGTTCAACACAGAAGTAAATATGAGACAGGACTGGGTTCTGGGAGGGATGAGTGGGGGGAGAGAGAGGTTAATATTTCTTCGCAAAGGGGTTATGCAGAAGATTACTTCTTAGTTGGTAGTTAAGAGATTTTAAAGAGGGCAATCTCCAGCATGACATGCTAAATAAGATGATTCAATAATAACAGTGACTCTTCAGGTGAAGAGCATTCCCAATCTGACACCACAAGAGTGAAAATGTAAAAGAAAGAAGATTTTTAATTAAACCCACTCTTGGTGTTTCAGTTGTTGTGATGTAACTCGGTGATTCTTCGTTCTACTTAAAAGGAGCGAGGACCTGGAAAGAACGAGAATCAAAATAAAGTTTAACTTGCTTGGCTTTAGATTTTCCTCAAGCATTTGCTTCTTAGTCATGCCACTCTTCCATGCAATGTGTATATGCTTCCTCTCTCTCTCTCTCTCTCTCTCTCTCTGTCTTTGTCTCTTTCTCTGCCTCTCTCTAATTGGCACACCCAACTCATTGCAGGTCTCAGCAATTATCACCCTTCCCTCTGCTGTGCCACACCCACTCTGTCACAGGTAAAGGTATGAAGCAGTCTTTGTTGTCTGGTCGCTATGAGTAAAAAAAAACAAAGAGACAGTCTGACTGATTCTTTTTGTGTACATACCATAAATAGGACATGCATCGCTTTTATTAGTCATACATACACAAAATGTTCTATAAAGATTTTCTTCTTTTTTAGTGTAGACACTAATGTGAGCGAACATTTTTATTATTATTTTTTAAATGTGCAATTGGTCCTTTAACATTTGTCCTGTTTAGTTTAATAACTATCTATCCATCCATTATCTATACACCGCTTAATCCTCACGAGGGTCGAGGGGGGCTGGAGTCTATCCCAGCTGACTCAGGGTGAAGGCAGGAGACACCCTGGACAGGTCACCAGTCTATCACAGGGCTACACTTACAGACAGACAACCAAGCACACTCACATTCACACCTACGGGCAATTTAGAATCACCAATTAACCTCCACATGCTTTTGGACCCGGAGAGAACCCACGCTGCATGGGGAGAATATGCAAACTCCACACAGAAAGATCCCAGGTGTCCTCACCCGGACACGAACTGGCGACCTTCTTGCTGTGAGGCAACAGTGCTAACCACCTTGTCACTGTGCAGACCATTAACCAGCTATTCTAAAAGAAATTAACTGGTCGTTTATGTTGCCCTTAGGTGTGAATGTGAGTGTGCTGTCTCTGTGCTGGATAGACTCCAGCTCCCTGCAACCCTGCAGAGGATAAAGCTGTGTATATAAATGGATGGATGGACTGTTGAAAGAACGTTGGTGGATGTTGCCTTGTGCTGTAGGATATTGTGAAGGGCCTTTACATTTAATTTTATACTTTTTTGTTGTTGTTTGTTTTTACAATTTCAGCCAAAACAAAGAAATGGAAACAGTTACAGATGACATCAGAAGTCTGCAAGTAATGACCACAATGATTTGAATCCCTTCCTTTCAGATTATTTTTGTATTATTTTTATATTAAAATTTTTTAAAAAAAAGAAAAACTCCATCCTTTACAACAGGAATGTCAAATTCATTTTCATCACGGGTCACAGAAGCATTATGGTTGACCTTAAAGGGCTGGTTGTGACTGTAAAACTGTATAAATGTAACTACTCTTCAACATAATAACATTACATAATATTATGGAAATTTATTTGATTTGGAAATGCACATCTCTCCATGTAAAATGACATGGTGGACCAGATTGAGGCTGCGGGCCTTGAATTTGACGTGTGTTTTCAATTTTGAGCAACTATTTACATTTTGAAAAAAAGTCTGCATGGCAACAAAGATGTACATTAACATGTTGGGAGACAATCCAGTAAATCTTTTTTTTTTTTTACAGTGTTTGATTTTTTATAGATCAAATGATTTGTGAGTCAATCGAGAAAATAATCAGCAGGTTATTTGATAATCAAATGATGGTTAATTATGTAGCCCTAGATGTTTTTTTCTTTGCTTATCTGCTTTCCATTTAAAGTGGAAAAACAGAAAATTACATTCTGTTTTTGTGCAGCTCAAGACAATACAAACAACTTTAAAAATCCCACAAGGGGCAAGAGCAGCTTGTTTTACACAAAGTACAGTATTACACACAAAAACACACAGACACACATGCAAACAAACAAATAAGCTGAGTCTGACGAAAAATCTAAATGTGGAATAAATCTTTAATAAATATATATGAGATTGTACTGATAAGCTAGATACACTTAATACATCCATCCATTATCTATACACCGCTTAATCCTCACTAGGGTCGCGGGGGGCTAGAGTCTATCCCAGCTGACTCAGGGTGAAGGCAGGGGACACCCTGGACAGGTCACCAGTCTATCACAGGGCTACACTTAGAGACAGACAACCAAGCACACTCACATTCACACCTACGGACAATTTAGAATCACCAATTAACCTCAGCATGTTTTCGGACTGTGGGAGGAAGCCGGAGAACCTGGAGAGAACCCACGCTGCAGGGGGAGAACATGCAAACTTCACATAGAAAGATCCCGGGTGTCCTCACCAGGACACGAACCAGGGTCTTTTATGCTGCGAGGCAACGGTGCTAACCACTGATCCACCTTGCAGCCCACACTTGATACACAATTACTAAAATACATAAATTAAATAATGAGAAAAAACAATGACAGTAATAATGATCTATCAGCAACAATAAAACAACCTATGAAGCGTTTTTTTGGTCGAATCAAAGTAGAAATGAATGATTTACAATCGTAGGTAGTTTTACAAGTACCTAAAATATATGGCAACAGAACAAAAAAAAGACAATTTATAAACAACTTTGTGGTTTCTGGAGGCTTCGCTGGTTACAAGAAAGACTTCAAATCTCTTTGTTTCACTCTGGTGATCTTCAATTCTGACAATTATGTTATCAAGTTTGTTCGTCTATGTTTCCCATAGAGGATTTATTAGTAACCTGTAAATAACTTAATATCACTTAATTATCTATTATGTTCTAGAAATACTTCCTGAACACCTGTGTAGCAGGTCTATGTAGTGGCCTGGTGTAAGCTGTCCACAAGCTAAAACGAGGATAAAAAACATTCTACCAAAGTCAAATATCAGTTTATGTTGGCAATGATTCCTTCAACTCCACCCTGCAAAGCTAGATAGCGCTAAGGTCAGATGTCACA